CACGTGCAAGACATTGGCATTGATGGTTTGTCCCCCACCGATCTGGAGGGCAAGAACACGAGGAGGAGCACACGTAAGGCACAAGGCAGCACCAGCATCTGCTCCAGGAGAGCCACTACATTAAAGTCCTGGGCATGGTGTCACAGAGACCAGCAGTCATTGCAGCAGCAAAGAAGAGGGGGAATCACTGGACAGTGCCAAAAACTTGCCCTAGAGCAGCTTGGGCTAACGTCAGTCCCGTTCCCAGGGCAGGGAACAGTGCAGGAGAAGCCCTGGATGGACAGTGACCAACTGGCCCGGGAGGAGGGGAGAGATTACAGGGTTTGGGGTCACAGGGAGAACCCAAATACCCAAAGAGCAGCGGGTCTGCACCTCAGCCTTGCTGCTTTGCACAAGCAGAGTCGGGAATGTAGATGTAATCACTTGGAAGAAAACATCCATGTGATGGCAGCAAAGAACAGTGCCAGGGAAGCTGCTCCCGTGCCCAGGCTGCTCCACAGCCAGGAGATCCCGTCTTACCGCAGGCTCCTGGCACCTCCCTGATGTTTGTACTAGAGTCCCGAGAGAACACGAGGCTGCCAAGGGAGCAGCTTGTGGGGAGGACTCATGACGTGTCCGTCAGGTGCTGCCCTGTGTAGGAGACTCTACGTGGGACATGTGACCCGCTGCCCGGCCGGGATGCAGGAATGGCGCTGCCTTCGGGTACCAAGAGCATCCCTCCCGGGGTCCCACAGCCCCGGCACTGGCAGGGACTGGGGAGCAGGACCTTACCATTCCTGCCTTCTGCTTGGAAAAGGACTCCACCAGTGCCTCCACACCATAGTCTGTGAGCATGGAGGTGTTGTAGAGGAACTGCTCGTAGTTGTACTCTTTGCCCTGGATGATGAAGGAGTCGGGCATCAGCCCGTGCCAGTGATAGAGCTGGTTGAATTCCACCGCAATGCGATTCCGGTACTGGAACTGGGTGCCAAACAGCAGCTCTGGGTCAAACTTGAGGCTCAGGTAGTAGCCACTGAGGTGCTGGACGTAGTCTTCAATGACGATCTTAATGGTCTCCCCTGGGCAGGAGGTGAGAGAGGCAGCCGTCAGCTGGAGCTACCGGCTCTGTACCCAGACGACGTTACCCATCTCTGTACCCAGATGACGTCACCCATCTGCTAGAGCAGCGTGTCCCAGGGCCCACCCACCACCTGGGACTTTCCTGACTACTGGCTTGTTGAGTTGGCTGAGGAATTTTCAGTGAATGACTTTTTTTCACCAGTAAAGCTCAGTCTGCCAAAACCGAAATGGTTCCTGAGGAAGCTGACCTGGAGATGCTTCTTACAGATAACGGGGTGACGTGGCTTTTTTTCTGGATTTTGGTCAAAAGTGACTTTTCATGACATTATAGCAAATGTACAATGAACATTAAAATGGAATTATTCAGATTGACTGCAAAATTATTCAAAATTACTTTTTTGATGGATCAAAGCCAATTTTTTGCTACATGGACCAAAGCAAACAACCCTCAGAAGGCTGCCAGAGAAATTCCTCCAGCCTCTTTTAGAGACCAGCCTGGCCACCACCCTCAAAAAGAGACCAACACCCAAGCCCTTGGGGCTTGCCCAGAGAGCTGGGACCCGGGGTGGTGCTGCTGGTCCTCACCGATGAGGATGAGACGAGCCGTCTGGAAGAGCTGCTCATCGCTCCAGGTGGGATGCTCCCGTTTCAGGATGTCGCAGACGCGGTTGTGCTCGCGCAGCCAGAGCGTGGCATACATGCAGAGCCCTGGCAGCAGCCCAAACACCTCCTGCCCCATCGCCAGCCGCTTCTCCTTGGGGATGGCAGGCGGGTAGACCATGTGAACCGGAGCGTCGGTGACCGTGGGTGGGTACACCTCTCCATCCACCACCTTGGGGAGAGAAGAACAGGATGGCAGAAAAGGAGCGGGGGAGAAAACCTCCTCGGTGAAAGCCTGTCGGGTGGGACCTGCGTCCCAACGGGCACCACGGCTGTTCTG